GGGAGATACATTTCACAAAGCAGTGGATTTAAAACAAAGAAACGAGGAATGCCTGGACGCTTGAAACGAGGTTCGCCCTGCACCTTCGCCTTCCTTTTCGCGTATCAGTTTCTACCCGCGAAACGAATCCGTTGAAAAGCCGACGCTTCCTTTGTAACAACCCCGTGCAATTAACGCTACCGAACGGTTAAACCTTGAAATTCCTCTACGGAGACTTCGGAACCGCGTGTGTCGGGACTTTAATTGATTCGTAATTCAGGCTGCCTATCGCTGAATCGATTTCTTCGGTAATTCCTCGGAGAAACGTCTGCTATCTTTTTAATAACCGGAAAACGAACAAGTCGGGAACGGGTCGTTCCGACGCGTCCGCTAGCTCTGGCGTTAACGCCGCGTTTAACGAGGAATCGCGTTATACGGAACCAATAGGAGCTCGCGTTGCACGGTTCGTCCGCAGCATCTTTCCCGTCCTCCTCTCGGCCGGCCTGTCTCTTTCCGTTCCTCTCGAAGCCGCGCTGCGAACTAGACGCGACGCTTCCTGCTGGCATTCGCCGACAGTTACGTGGAAATTGAGCACGAGCTTGGCTTGACCGATATTTCTAGGCGGGCGCGGAGCCGAGCGCCGCGCCGTTTTAATTGGACCGTTCTCGCTCGCGCGCCGCGAACGCAATTAAATTCTCGCGGTGCTCCGGGATTTTTCGAGCTTCGCCCGAGCCGAGCGCCGATCGACCGGCGAGGAGCCGCGCCGCTGACCGCCCGGCCCGCCATTGTTACGCGCGACTATGCGGCGATCTTCGGCGAACCGACTTGCACCGGGAAACTCTGCGCACGACCGCGTCCTCCGAGAAGAGACCTTTTCGTCGGAACATCGGCGGAGGGAACGGTTCTTTTATTTTTAAACTTTCGCCGTCGCGTTGCGCTTCTATAAACGGTTCGAACGTTTTCGGCTGTCCGAGTCGGAGCTTCCTGATGATCGGCTCGAGTTCTCAATCACAAGTGATTGCAATCAGAATTCGGAGAATAATTATTGACCACTGATAGACGATGATCGTGGTAATAATTGAGTCGCTCGGCCACTCGATTTTTTGATTTTTATCAATTTTCATGGAGTGAATAATATTCTTCTTAGTTATTCAAGGATTTACTCGTTTCTTCTAGAAAGCCTTTCTTTTGTAGCTGAATATATTATTCAACCCTTTGCACTCGGATGTTCCTTACTAGAAATATTTAACATTTCTTTACGAAGACGATGTTCTTTGACACTAATTCCAAGAGAAATCACCAGTACATTGAGGAACAAAGCTGTTTAGCTTAAGTTTAACATCAAACATCGCATTCTATACTGTGTCAAATCAAGTGGTGACTGAGAGTCACTTCTCGAGTGCAAAGGGTTAATAATTTCAGAAGCCAAAACATTGATTCCCTCGATGTTCATTTATTGAACTTCACCGCTGAGGTTAGTTCTCTTCGAACGATAGATCTTCGACTGTTATCGGCGCCGACTGTCCAAGACGATCCGATATTGCAGCCGCTGTCGCTGGATTCGTCAAGAAATTTATAGTTCGCCGATCGTTAATCTCTAATAGACTGTCCCAGAACCGTCGATAGGCGACGCGTTAATATTTCCCCAGCGTCGACGACGCGGCGATCGGCGAAGCGTGCAACTCGTACGCGGTGTCGATCGATATCGAACAATAGCGGAAGACGGCCGGTGCCGGTAATAAAGAACGGGTCACGTCTCGAATTAAAACGGGAGGAACGTCTGTGACCGTTCCGTCCGACGCGGCTGCTCATCGATCGGAGAACGCTCGCTCGACTTTCGGAATAGAAAGATAATCCCGTCCCTTCGACGGTGCCGCCGCGGAGCAATTCGAGCTCCTTCCTCGCAACGTCTCAACCCTTCGCAGCCCCGCGTCGAGTCGGACTCGACGTTCAACGCTAAAATTACCGAGCGGTTAATCGACTTTTCGAAGTGCCAGCGGTGCATCTAACGAGACCGTAATCGATTCACAATTCAGTTTGCGCATCGCTGAATCAATTTCTTCGAGAATTTCGCGGAGAAACATCTGTTATCTTTAACTGATAATCGCGAAATAATCGGTTCGCTCCGACCTGTCTGGTAGTTCCAGGGTTAATTTTATCCCGATGTCTACTTAATTTAACGGTTTCTGCTGTAATCGCTCGTGGTATCATAAAGGAAGCGCTCGAGTACTTTCCAGGTGATCTCGGATGAATCATGAAAGCGCTGTATCTAACTATCATTGAATTAAACAACTTCGATGCAAGCTGCAGAGTGAAAACAGGGGACATTCAGGATGAAAAAAGGTTGAAAAATGGAGAAAATTCATTTTCCAAGATACGAAGAGTTTCTTTCGAATTTGTCGCTAAAGCATTCTCACGGTTAGAACAATTCCGAAATCAAGATTTCCGGATGGGTAATTTTTAGCCGAGTGACGGTTCCAGCGTTAATCTCGGGGCGCGCTTTCGACGGGACGAGGGAAGCAAAGGCTCGTCGATCGATTCCTTGGGAATGCCGTTTCTCCGCGCGCTCGAATAAAATTATTTACCCAGTATAATTACCTAAGAACCCGAGGAAAAACACGTTCCCTTTTTTTCCTGTCTCCCGGCGGCGCCGAGATCAATCGATAGCCGCGCGTGCCGAAATTAACCTGAGCGCAACGTAGCGTCACGATTATCGAATCTCCCTCCTTCCCTTTCCGCGGATCAGGCACAATTTAATCGAATGTATTTCACGGAAGGAACACCGCGGCGAAACGAAATAATGGGGAAATTAGAAGAACGAATGAGATACACGTGGAAACGATCCAGCGAACGGACAGGTGGAAAAGTTGGCAAGACGAATCAGCGGGTTCGCGCTTGGAAGCGCACCTCGCTGGCTGCAGTATTCTTGAAAACGCGGTTCTATTCAATTATATTCCGTTAGATTAGAATATCTATATCCTAAAAGTGCAGAAGGATGCACGAAAGAAGCGCAACGAATACTTCTAATTCCACAATTCCCAGACACGCGAGTCCAACTTACCGCACATCGATTTTCATTAAACTCGCGTGAGAAATAGCTCCCAAGAAAATATTCAACACGTATTTCTTTTCATCGCTCAACATCTATTTCGAACAACTGCAAACCCAAATTTGAGGGTTGAAATCTTCCACCATATCCCCGAAACCAGGTGTTGCGCAAAACTTTCGTTTTAAATAGTCCTCGAAATGAACAATCCAGGTTTCTTTTCCGAACTCTCTAAATTCAGCACCTCATCTTCAAGGGGTGTTCCCACTCGTTGCAAGTAAATCGATGAGGAAAAATACCTGTCAAATATTTCCTTGAGACCTACGTCTCACACGAGTCTCTGGTTAACTGATTAATTAAGCGATTGATATATAATTTAGCTTCGTATGTCGAAGCTTTTGCATATTTCGAAGAATCCTCGTCCGCAAAGGGTTAAAATCTGCGGTTGCAATAGTTGCCTCGCTAGATCCATTTAGCAACAGCGCCAGGAGTACGAGGTGATTTCCCCGATTTCCCGAAAAATCCTCGCGCGTCGCGGATGGCAGCTCTTCCGTGCCCGACTTTCCCGTCGCGACGTATCTTTAGCGGCGCGCGCGACGCGTGACGCGTCGACCTTGCATCGGCGTCCGCTCCGCTCGGGATTTTCAAGGGAATTTGAAATTTCAATCGTTTCCGGTGCAACATTGCGCCGAACAGAATTCCAATGTCGCTGGCCATGTCTAATTCAGCAGCCGGTCACACTGCTGTCGGGGAACGACGCGCCTGAATGTTTCAACGCGGCCGACGCGCGTCGGTGGAAAAGTTTTCCGCGCGTGGCGCATCGGGAACGGCCGAACGCCTAGATTGCCGCCGGTAATGGATCGCGATCGATTCTATAATTAAATGCGCGACCATCGCGCGTTATTCGAGTCGGCCGGCTCGACGCGCTCGCACCTTTGTTCCTTCGGGCTCCTCTTTCTCCGTGCCGCGTCGGTGCGAGCGATCCTTAACCCTTTGCGCTCGAGAATATTTTTGTCAACGAATTTACAACTAACATAAGGAAATACCCTGCATAAATTAAGTGACAGGACTACTTTATTTCGACGTTCCACATGTTGATACGTTAAATAAGATTTAATATTGAATTCAAAAAGCAAATGGCGACTGAACGGCAAGACTCGAGTGCAAAGGGTTAACACTTTCACTGCCCGTCACCGAAATTCGGGCGACACCATGTATACACCATGTATACATCGGCACGAAAGACTTTGAGACATTTGAGAATCTGATCGGTAACATAGTTGCTGTATCGGATTCGTCAGATTTCTCTGCGAAGACAGTTTCAACGTGGACACCTCCTTGCGGGACAAGAAGACACAGTTCGACGAAGTCGGGGAATTAGTAGAATAGGAAAAAACGAGACAGACAGTCCTCCGACCACCGAGACTTCAAAACAATGCCTCGTACGTCACATATTACCATTCGATAAAGGAAATATCAATTTCATTAACTTTAATCTTACTTTCTTAGTGCCAGTGAAACTATTTACATCGATTTTAAATAAACGAACTTTTAACCCTTTGAACTCCAAGAGTTTTCTACCAAAAATACCCAATGCTTTCCGATGAAATATAGTTAACATTTCTTAAAACTGGCATCACGAGAAATCGTAGATAAATTGAAGGAAAAGGCTGTATAATTTTAATATTTCACATATTGATGCATCACACGAAACTTAGCATTAAATATTATACTCCAAAATTTTTCTGTGCCTAATCGAATGGCGACTGAGGGGAGCCTACAGAGTTCAAAGGGTTAATTTTGTTAATTACATCGAGTCTTGCCCGTCGGTTCGAAGGAGGCTTGAAACGATATCTTCTATGATAGTCTTATCGATCACGGTTAACCGATAACAGTAACGATCTCTTCGCCACGCATTGGAATTGTCTTCGCAGAGAAATCAGTGTCGCGAATAAGAAGAGTAGAGTCGACTTACGTGTAGGTGGCTGGCGATAATGCAAGTGTTGCAGGCTCTGCGTTTGATGGTGGTGATGATGGTGTGGCGGTCCCATGGCCGGGCCCATCGCGTGGTTCCCGTGTTGGTGGTGCGGCGAGCTCCCTCTGTGCGGGTGGTACTGGGAGGGATGATGCTGATGAGGGTGATAGGAGGGCGGCAGGAAGCCTGCCGTCGACTGATAGACGCCAGGACTGTGACAGGCTGACCTGCCGAGTGCTGCTGTCGGACATTCGTCAAACACGTGCCATCAGAAACGCTCGTCTCCAGCGGAAAACGACAATCCTCTTCTCCGATCCCCGCGGAAGCTAAGTCGATCATCGCGACGGGCCGATCGATGCTTGGAAATCGCGACACGGGCGGCTTTGGATTTTGGAAAAACGAACGTGCAAAGTTCTCTAGCTCTTTCGTCGGACGGAACGTTGTTTCTCCGTTACTCCGTCGCTCGTGCACACAGACTTTGAAACTAGATCGGAGACGCTAAAGAACACCGCGAGCAAGAAGAATCGATCTCCGGTCGCCGCGGAGGCTAAATTGTCGCGAGGAGACGCTAAGAATCGATGATCGGGAGCCCCGAGGCCGAGTTTCGAGTTTCCGCGCGAGGATCGCGTGGCTCGTTCAATTTTCAGCGTTCCCAAAGCCGGCGCGCGACGAATCGAGTCGCCGGGTTCGTCGATAATGCACGGAACGGGTTTCGGAGAGTCGGTCGGTCGAGTTTCCCGAAATTGGGGCGATCGGTCTGTCGATCCGCCGCGGACCTTATCTTGCCCGTATTTAGCCTGGTCTGCGGCTCGTCTAGGCGGTCGCCGCGATTTCGCGCTAGAACTATCCGTGAATTCGAATGACTCATTCCTATTTTCTTAGACGGGGTTCGAGATGCTTCACCGACGCACGCGAATCGATTGACACGTTCCGTGCCACGTGTACCACGTGTACGGTGCGCGAATGTTTGGGAGAAAATATTCTTAAGAATGCTCACGAATAGAAATACACGTTACAAACCAACGAAAGCAAAGAGATTTGAGTATAACTTAATACTTGATTGAAAAAATCTATACAGTTCATCAGCAAAACGCAAGTTCCCGTGGCACGGAACAACCCCTTGCCTTACAACAACGACACTGCAATGAAGGTTTCAAATAGAGTTTAACAAATATAAATATTACTAAGGTCCAGTACAAATGAAATATTATCAATTACACATCAGAGCAAACATACAGGATATGCCTAGAATTTTCCTTTCTCCCGATACACGATCAATGACAAACTTCGCGTCGATCGCAGTTGAGCAACAAATAGGCCAAGGGGTTAAAGAGCATTAGTTTTCCGAACGTTCCGCGTTCGCATCCGAGCGACTCGAACAGCAAGCAACTTACCTGACGACAAATGAGAGTGATGGGACGCCAGGCTCGGCTGAAGGGACGTGTTAGGGTTGAGCCTGGCCTTCAGTAAGAGATTCGCGTCCTCGTTAGCGCCCGAGGACGTACTGGACTCGACATCGCTGACTCCGCTGTCCGCGGGGCTCGCTGGCAGTGATCCGCTTCCTGTTTCCCATGCAACAAAAGAGAAACGCTTCCTTTGGTAATTGCCGTCCATCGCCGCGATCAACGTCAACCGAGAAACCCACTGGGCATCCCTCGCGCTCGCTGGCTAGCTCGCTCGCTCGAGCGTTTTGCAACCGCGGCCCGCCTCGCCCCGCCGTTTCCGCGCACACGCGTAGCACATGCACATGCGCCGGCGACTGCGTTCGAAATGAATTATTCCCCATCGCGGTTTCCTCGTTTTCGTGGAAACCCGAGTGTCAATGTCGGGGAATGTCCGAGACGGACAGCGAGGCTATATCGGTGCACGATCGTTCAATCTGTTGCCATTCCCGTTCGGAAATCGCGCGTTCCACGCTGCGTTCGCGAGCGTTTCTCGTTTATCCTACCGTTTCTAGGGAAGCTGTTCGTTATTTTGATCTCGGTTCTCCGATGAACCGAACTCGATACCGTCTCTCTGGGTTATCGATATTCTATCTTATAAGTAGAACGTAGACTCGCGGCGGGTACGGCTCTGCTTTCGCGTAGGATTGTAGAAGCAGACGCTGAATCGAGCGATCGCGCGACTGTTTTTCTTTCGATATTCTCCTATGTACAAAGTTACCGTCGAAAACACGGTTTCGAAATTTCCTTCACTCCCTCAGCTTCCACATCCACGTCCCTAATTTCAGTTGCGTCAGTTTAACACATTGAACGGCTAAATTTCAGACACAAGAAACGGGAGCGTCGGTGATTATACTGATACATGCTTAAACATCGATTAAACCAAAATTTCTAACTTACGGAAGAGAATAAGGAATTCGATTTTGTAAATTTTACTTTGGATTTGTTATACATATCTAGAATGATATAGACTAAAAATCCCGCATTATCACGGGGCCGGCGCTCAATGTGTTAACTACCATCGGCCCATCGTCGCGCCAGGTGTGCCGAAAAGAAGCTCGACCGCCGCGCACAGGCCGATTATTCGAAAACGAAGGAAAACACAAGGAAAACCGAATACTCGGAGGCTGTCTGATAGCGGTGGTCTGGTTGCGAATTAAGCGCGAGTCAAATGGAGCGAGAGGATCGATCGCGTCCGAAATTAAAGCGGCCCCGTCGCCGGTCGCGAGGTCGGATTTCACGCGACGACCGTCGCAGAGGTCCATTCCGCTCGGTTTCCCGGTCTTCGTGCTCCGGGCAGCAATTTAGAAGATTTCCGAGATTCCCGCGGACTTTGCCTTGCAGCGAGCACAGGTGCATAGAACGGAGAGTACAGTGTGCACGTGTGAATCCGCGTTACCGAAAGCCGTACGCTAGATTCCTCTCGTACGTCGCGAGTACTGCGAAGGTAACGTGGCTCGAGCGACTATCGCGGCAACTTTTAGTTTCTGTTTCGCGGAGAGTAGAGGAACGAGGGGAAAGAGGAAGTCGCCGCGCATCTTCGACGCGTTATAGGGATTCCCGTTACATCCGCGGCGCGCATAGAAACGCGATAGCCAAGGAAGTCGCCTCGACGAGCCCTGAATTGGCTCGAACCACGCGCCCGAGCGCGCGAGTCGTCTCGGCTCTAATTAGTTCGAATAATCGAGGTTCCGCCGGACCGTTCGATAATAAGAACCGTCCCGGTCCCAATTAGTTCGGCCGATCGAGGCTCTCAGCTGCGCTTCCCGAAGCTGGGTATTAAGATTCTTAAAAGAGGAAACTAGTTTCCACTTGATCCTGGTTTCTTGAAATCGCTTCAGGAAATTCGTAGTTTGCATAAAGATCCGGCGTCTAGACCGTGGCCGCAGCTCGCTCCTCTCGCTCCTCTCGCTCGCTCTCTCCCTCTGGGCTTTATCGAGCAACCGGGACGAGCGCCGAACGTGTTTTCGCGTGCGCCGTCAATTAAAGGCATCTTTATGCAACGGGCGAAGGTCATCCGGTCATTGGGTATGCATATCGCCGCTGCTTCCCACGGTCTCTGTCTCTCCCTCTTCCCGTGTCTCCTTCCCTCTTGCCTTTCCTCTCTGTCCCTCTCCTCGCGCACTCTCTCTCTCTCTCTCTCTCTCTCCAGGCGGCGACTCGGAGAACCAGAGCGAGAGGGAACAAGGATACGGAGGGACGGAGAGAAAGCGACGCGTCTGAAACCAGTCCTAAAAGGTTTGCGTTGCACCGAGCCTCCGTCCGTCTCGGTCACCGCCACCGACGCCGTCGGAAACGACGTCGAGCCGTCGGTTTCGCGCGGAAAGCCCTTTCCCCGGGTATCCTCGAAATCGCGAGAATCCGATGGCAACGAACAGTTGGAAATCGCATTGATCATAGCCATTTATGGTCTCGACGAGAAAATGATGGTTATTGTCTCGGTTCAATCAGAATGATTCATTACTCCGTTATTAAGAACCAACGGTATTTGTGCTTCTTATATTTCATGATGTTACGATTTCCGATCGCTCTCGCGAGTTATTAAGGAAGCCGCGCAACTTTGAATTTCCACGTCAGCATTAACGGAGACCTTATTTACAGGAAATTCTGATACGGAAATTGCTTGTCGCAATATTGTAACAGCTATTTCTGAAAATCAAGGAAAACGTCAAAGACTCTGCAGTTTCCAATGCCACTGCATCACGGTTCGATATGACTCCATAGCGTCGCGGCCCGAAGAATCCTCGGTTCCCTTTTTAAAAACTGCATCGAATTTATTTAAACCGATTACGCTCCGATATGATTACATAAAACCCTTCGGCATTCAAATTATTCTCGGGTTTCCCGCTTTGGAAGCTGCGTCAAAGGTATTCCATTCGATTGCAGTTGAACGTGACGCTTCAATCATTCCGCGGGAACGTTGAAATTCTGCTCGCGTGCGATATAATCGCGAGATGCGCGGCGGGAACCGACGAAACGCTCGATTATTCGAATGAAACCGATCGAGAGGACGATCGGCCGTAAGTTTGGAGTGCGCTCGACGCGAGCGACGACGGCGGGGCCCGGTCGCGGAGCGCTCGGCCCGCGATTCCCGCGAGTTTCTCGCACTCGACGCGGCCGCGCAGCCTTTATGCAACCGGCGATTATTTCGGTAATCGACCTCCCCGGCGAACCGAACCGACGCTCGCTCTCCGCACGCTCTCTTGAACCGGATCGCTCGCGAAACGGAGGAGAGGACCTCTCTCTCTCCGCTCCTCGTCTCCGGCGACGCGCCTTACGCAATCGACTTTTCTGCAAAAGGTTCGGGCGTCGCGCGGCATCCTTCCCTTTTATTATTTCGACGGGAATGCCTCGTCGATGCTCGAACACCAATCGAAACGCGACAGAAGCGAGGGACGTTGCCTCTCGTTTAACACTTCGACTGCCACTGAACGCTCGTGTGCGGTCGGAACAGATTTTAATGATAACAGAAGCTAAAAAGATTCTTTGTAACGACTGCTCCTCTCTCTGATATATCTGATTCGATTACTATCCAATATCTAATAAAATCCGATTCGTCGGATACGTTATCGAGCAAACACGTTTCCGCTTACGTAAGAAACGTCACTCGAATTTCAGTGACGCGGCAGTTGAAGTTAATTGGAGCAGGTGAGTCGGTAAATTACTACAGTTTCACCGTTTCGCGCAAGAGATTGCTTGAACTTCTCGAAATTCTTCGCGGACCGGAATAACGCGTGGAAGTTTCAAGCAATAAATGAGAGGACACGTGTTGATCTCGATGTGCGAATAATTGAATAACGAATTTGCTTGTGTCGAAGCCCGGAATAGCAATGGCATTCGACAGCGTTAATACGGTTGATCGACGAAAACACGGTTGAACCGTGGCATTGTTGTTCGATCTGGCGACAATCGAGTAATCGAGTAACTAATGCGGATGAAAGAAAAACGTGAGACGAGTAGCTCTCTCTCTCTCTCTCTCTCTCTCTTGAGAGAGAGCTGAGGGAATTAAAGGGCGCGATGAAGGTGCGGCGAACAAAGGCTCATATTCTATGCAGAAATCGTATACGCGTCAGACAGCATTGTGGCCATCGTGGAGTCAAGTATTCACCCTTTTCGGACACGAGTTTTCTCAACGGCGGATCCAGCTAGTCCCTTTAACCCCCCGGCAGAGGCTGCGGCGTTTCCGACACAGCTGGACCCGTTGTATTTTTATTTATTTGGCTAATTATGCATGTACGTACAACGTGCACGCGTTGGAACGATACGTGCACGGTCGCCTTGGGAAATAAATGTCGACTTCCGTCCAGCTGTTCCGTCGAGCGGAACGCTAAGGAATCGTCGAAGAAAGGAGGCAGCGAAATTCCCGATGACAACAAAAGCTAACAAGAGAGATCCTTTCGCTCGATCGGTGTAAATTGAATCGGAACCGCTCGCAGAATAGCTTCTCGGAGCTGTTGCTATTCACGGAACCGGCTTCGCGACCACCGGGGGACGCTTCTCCGCGTAATCATCTCAGTGGATCAAGTACCACCCAAACAGACACGTGAGCCGATGGAAATCTAATAAACACGCGCCGGTAGTTCCTATAAAGAAACTCGGAAAGCCCCGTTTAAGTGCCGGGTAATTCTAACGTTGAATTCCAGTGCGATTCGAAATAGCCGGGCACGTCTAACGGTGAGGGGCGGCGCAACGATAAAAGAGATCCGATTAAATCTTTCAGCAACGTCTGCGGGGAATCGCGCGGCCCAGACACGGCGCGCCGCTTTTTAAAACCGGAAGTCTATTAAAATTCACCGATGAACTCCGCCGTCGCGAAAATAGAGTAGACGACGCGACGCGACGCGACGCTGCCGGGGAGTGAAATCTTTCGAGTCCGAGAAATCGATAAACGCTCGGACAGGAATTTTCACCTTTTTATCGTCGCCGATTACTGTCGGACGAGAAACGGCTGGCACGAGGCACGCGGAGCGCAGCTGAACGGCGTGTCCATGAAAACCCGCCTAGAGAGGAAAGTCAAACGTTCGCCGGAAGCGATTTCCTGTCCGGCTGTTTGCCGGTCGGCCCGCGAATATTATTACCTGCGGGAAATCGACTCGCCGGAATTTTGGTGTGTCGTTCGATTGTTTATTCCACGTCGCTTTATTTTTGTATCAAAAATCGTGGCTTGGCCGAATTCTGGCTCTCCTACGTGTTCAATGTGTGAGAAGCAGAAAGAGATTCTGTAATGTGAAACGTAAGAATTCAGAATAACGTATAACCCGATGAAAAGAAACTTCCACGCGCTTTATTTCGAGTATTCCTTAGGAATACATCATACAGCGGTGAAAACGATAGATTTCTAGAATTGAAAGATTTAAGATACTCTGACGAACGCTCGATTGCATTGAATGTGTTACAATAATTAACCCTTTGCACTCGAGAGGTGCCTCTCACCAATTGATTTTATACACTAAAACTATAAAATTTGATACTTGATATTAAACTTCGTACGATGCATCAATTTGAGAAATATTCAAGCAAAATAGCCTTTGTTCCTCGATGTAAGTGTGATTTCTCGTCGAGTTAGTTTCACAAAATATCCTATCCACCTCATCGGAAGACGTTAAAATATTTCTAATGAAAAACTTCCGAGTGCAAAGGGTTGGAACATTCTCCGCTACATTCGTCAGTATTCCGATGGATTTCCTATTGTTCGTTATTATTCGAGTGATACATATCATTGGTCCTTCGTGCGTCTTTAAGCTACTTCGATCAGTGAAGTATGTTAAGATCGAAATTGAGGAAACGTTACGCGTTTACCGTTGAATTTCGAGAACTCTTCCGCGTCGCGAACGCAGAGATGCTCATAGATCAGGGAAACGTCGATTCGCAAGGAAAGAGCGCGAGGGAACGATGGGAAAGGATGACGATCGGCATCACTGACCTGGCGTACTCGTGGTAGCGATAGTGGCAGTGGTGTAGGGCGGTTGGCCCATCTGAGCATGGCCGGCCAAGTGGCGGCCGTATCCGTTTTGCACCCCTAGACCGTGCTGTTGGGGATGCTGGGAGAGAATACCGTGCAGTAGACGAGTCCCCGTGGTGGTCGTCGTCGTGCCGGTCGATCCTGGCTCTGCCTTCACGCTCGCCAGACCCAGTTGCTCCTTCTCGCTCGCATCGTGTGGCTGGACCTCCCTTGTGTCCACTGGAATCACAAGCAGACGGGGAATCGTTAGCTCTTTTCCGATCCTTTAACCCCTCGTGCTCCGAGCGATGTTCAAGTTTCGTGGAGCAACATACACGGGATGAGAAAATATCGAATTGCAATTATTGCGCGTTCTCGCTGAACCTCCGCATCAGCCAATGAATAATTCTTCCCGCTTTTCTTAGCGACAAAGGAATAACTCTACGGAAAAACACGTCGTGCTTTAAAGTCACGTTCGATTAAACACGGGGGCTATCAACTCGTCTTGCAATATCGCAGCGAGTGCAGAGAGTCGTTTACATTAGACGACGCAGGGATTACATTTGATCTATCGGTACTAATATCGCTTAGAGAAGAGTCTAAGATTCATCCTGGTTTCCAACGACTTAGCAGAATATTAATAATCACGATAATCCTCCAATGTCAACTGGCAACTTTTACGAACCCTAAGCTCCCCTGTTTCTCGATCGGGAAAATCGGTAACGACCGTCGAGAAGAGAGAGCGATGCGCCTCGCGTACAAATAGTTGCTCCTCTGTTCGGTTACATGAAAATCGGATACAGTTGTATAAGTAGGTATGCGGTTATAACGGAGGATTCGCGAAAGGATCGATCGGCTCGATCGTTAGAGAGGCAGCGAAACGCGAGCAGCAGCAGCCGCATATCGCTTCCTAACGGTAGCACCGAGAAGGCTGAGGAAGCACGACGGGAAAAAAAGAGAGGCATGGGAGGTGTTCTCGAGGGGTATAGCGCGGCGCTGCGGAGAGGAAGTGAAAGCCGGTGTCTCTCCTTGACCCACTGCAACGTTTCTACCTTCCTTTCAGGCAGCGCCAACCTCGCGGCTTCATTAAGCAATTTCTCGCTGCGACGGGAGGGAAAAATCGCTTCGCCTCGCCTCGCCTCGCCTCGCCTCGCCGCGCCGTGGAAAATCGACTCGCAGCCGATGCGGCCGCTTTCTTCGTCATCGCCGTCCCAGCGATCGTTTCTCTCCACGTAGCTCCCGCAGAAAAGTGTGTCGACCGGCTTTTTTATCGTCCCGTTTACTTTTCGGCGCCCACACCGGTTAAACGATCTGTTGCGCAATCGCGGGTTGAGGCACGCTCGCGGTCCAGACGAGTCTGGCGGTCGTCTCGTCTCCCGTGAGAAAGTTTGACGATGACGAAACAACGGTTCACGGTGGGTTTCGTGCCCTCCGGGAGATACGTGACCGATCTCTCGCTCGATTTCCTTATTTCGAGTGAACGCCTTGGCGCCGCGGAGAGGAGGAGGCCGAGGCGTCTAGGATTTTCATTCTGGACGCGAGAGAGACGGATCTTACGCTTCGATCGCGACGAAGTTCGGAGATACTTTGAAACGTACGAATGCTTCGGGAGATCGGGTTAAATTATATCGGTTGCTCGAACGATAGAGAAAAGGGAAACTACGCTGTCTCTTGTTCGAGTAATTCGATCGTCTGTTCCAAATACGGAACTTCGATCTGGAAATGTCGACGCGCGGGAAGGGCTGCGCTTCCTTGCCTGGAAAATTCCTGTGTTTCGAAGGTTCGATCGAGGAAGTCGATCATCGCGCGGGAACGACGAGAAAGAAGACCAAGGATAGCCGGTGCAGGTAGTCCGTAGGTGAGACCGAGGAGCAAACGATCCGCGATAAGCATCACGGGAGTAGCAGTGCAACGTCACAACCGAGGATCCCTGAATCGAATCGGCGATCTCGATCGCGCGGGTATCGGCGGAGGAGCCGGACAAACGGGTGCGCGCGTTTAATCGGCGGATCGTAGTTTCTTCTGCGGCGCGGGAGGGAAGGGAACGAACAGATGCTGCTCGGCCGGCGCTCCCGCGGGAAGAGCGGCGCGGCCGGCGGAGGAAGAGGAGAAGGCCGAGAGATACGGAGGAACAAAGGAAAAAACCGGGGAGACGCGAAAAAGGTCGGAAGGGGGAAGAATAATGAGAGAAGTCACGGACGCCGAGCGAAACGAGGGAACCGGGGCTCCGCGCGTTGCTCGCTTCTGGCGAGACCGTGTTCGTAATTTTCTGGAACGGCGGCGAGGACTCCGCGAGCCCGACCTCTGAGCCCGAATATCCGGTTCTGCGCGGCGATATCCGATGCAACTGTAATGCCGCGCGTTCTGCCACTCTCCTTCGCCTCTCGAAAGCGTGCCACGCGATAGATCCGAGCGGAGGAGCTTCGACTCGGAGCTGCGCGCTTCGACTGTTGTTTCAATCGAATTCGGGAATCGCGATTTTCCGAGACTTTGAACTTCGCTGAAGGGAAATTTAAGCAATCGCCATGAAAATCTTCGCTGAGGTTTGTTCACCCTCCGTTAACCAGGCGACGCTCGCCACTCGATTCGATGCAGACGAGTGATAACGTCTCGTATGCAATGTGAAAGTTTCTTTAAATAAATTGCTCAGAAAGATATAGTACATATATATATATCTGATCGGAAAGTTTCCCAGCGAAAAGCTGCCGAGCGCGAAGGTCTAATCCGCGGCCCAGGTTTCATCCCCAAGGAAACGTTGGAGCTGGAAAGGTTTTCCAGCGACAGGTTCACGCGACTATCCCTCGTAGCGGAAGCGTCGTCCGCAACGGAAGCCGGGAGGAGATGGTATCGCGCGACCTCGGGGTTAAGGATCCCGTCCCGTTGACCTCCGTTAACCCCGCGCCGCACACCCTTGACTCGACGCGTCGCATGCCGGGCCAATTGTGCCGTGACTCGCGGCGACCACGCCGGAATCGAATTTTTTGTCGCTGCGGAAGGCTCCGCGCTTCGATTTCAGCGTCCACCGGGCGGCCGACGCGTCGAGAGGACGACGCGGCGCGCGCCGAGGGTGCAGAGGGATCAACGATACCGGACGGCCGCTTTCAACTCGAGCCGGCCGATGAATTATTCCTGCGCGGCTCTCCCTCCAGCCCCTGCGAATCGTGGACGATCGGCTTGTTGCCCGCACACACACTAGCGCGACGCTAATTTCGCGTCCACCGACGCTCCCGTTTCCAGCCGCGACGCGATCCATCGATTCGACGGGGATCGCCGGCAATTTCGCCCTCCAACCTGCCACTTTGCGACCGACGCTCGCTTTTCCGGAAGAAGTCGATGCGAGACGTCGCGGCGCGCCAAACCGTAGTAGAGGAGGAAACGCGTCACGAGCGAAACGCGCCAACGAAGTCGCGGAAATCCGATTTCTCTTAACACCAGAAACAGAAATTTATCGTTTTAACATGCGATCTACTAATTCCGTAGGAGTCAAAGTCAATCAAGGTCTTCACACGCATCTGAGCACGACGAAGATCCCCTTCGGTTTCTCGCGCGATTCAGGATGGAAACTCCAGAAGAAAGATCCCGAAATCCTGTGGAATCCTCCGGAGCCGTTCGATTTCACCGAGTCCCGGGTTAATTAGTCAACGACCGACGATCCAGGGGAAAAATCGGCGGCGTAAAATACGACGGTGAGGCGGCTGGCCTCGACGAACGACCGCGAAGGGTTAATCGCCTTCTTCCTCCTCGGCGAGCCGAGGCGGATCGTTTCTCGCGGCAGGCCTCGGGGATCGGTTTTCACGATCTTCGGCCATCTTAATTGCGAGCAGCGGGGCTGCACCGGCTCGTTAGCGGCGGATCGAGTCCCCCGAGAGAGGTTCGACCTTGCTTGACCTTGACTCGCCCTGCCGCGCGACCGGGAAGGGTGGGTGTCTAGCCGCATCGACCGAACGCATCCCCGCCGAGCCGGGAACGGCGCGCCGCCACTTTCGAGACCGAAGGAATTTTCACCTTTCTCCTCTTCCGCCCCCGAGGCAACCCGCTTCCGCCGGGTTTCGACGTATTCGTCTTCTCCCCCGGACATCCGCGTCCGCGGCTCCGGATTCCGGAGATTCTCCTCCGCGTGCGACGATTTTTTCCCCATTTTTTTCTCCGTCCTTTCTGTTCGCTTCGCGGAGGATTCGCGCGGGTGATTCATCCTTCGCGGAGTTCAACGCTGGAACTGTCAACTCGCTCTGCGATTCATTTCTTAACACGTAGCCGCACGATTTCATAGAGCAGAATACATAGATTGGAAAAAATACAATATTAAATTCGATATTTCGTCGAACTGAATATCACTGCAATGGATAGCATTATTTATAATATAGAAATGTTTGCGAATAATCGTGGTTTCATTGAGTGAATTATAGTACTTCGGTTTGCTTGGGAGTCACCGGTGACCCCATGGCATTCAACGTGTTAACTGTGACCGACGCGAAGGCTTGATCGTTAATGATCGCTAGTCGTTTATCAGGGAGAGTTTTGATGCTTATTCTACGGCCACGTTTCCTTCGAAGGTTAACGATCGATAGAAAAGTATTATTGAATTTATATTTGAAGAATATGTAACAAGTTTCGGTACGGTATTGCAGGCGAAGAGATTGCAGTGATTTGTCCGTAGTTTGTTGGTAAAATTGAGATAGTCCGTTCCTCGAAGTTCGAGGCGCTTTCTACGTTTCCGTTTGCCCAGGTGTAACAGCCGTGAGTGTCTAAATTGGCATTCGATCGTTATTAGCGAAGACAGCTCACTCCTAGATACGTATCTCGCGATTCGATCTAGATCCGAAGAGTGCCTCCCCGGCGCTGATAAGGAAGATCGCCGAGCGAACCGACGCGCGGGCGCGTTATCGAGTAATACCTGCGCCGTGTTCGAAACCCGAATACATTTCCCGTTCTAAATGCACTTCTGATCCCCGCGACTATATTTACACGCTATCGCGCAACTGCCAAACAGCTGATCACCTGTTTGCCGGCTAAAAATACAATACACAACAAACCGACGAGCACTATCTCCCAACGCGCGCGTTACATAAAGGAGGGCCCTCTCCGAGTGTTTCCCTCGCAATCTTCGATCACGCGTAACTATCGACAGACGAATCGATATCAGAAACGAAACGAGCATCAAGACCCTCAGCCACAAACGAACAATACCCCTTTAATCGAACTGATCGAACCAACCTTCCAAATTTCCATCGTAATTAAGT